AAGCCAGGAGGCCATCCCCCCAGGCTGGTGTATTTACTTTTGCTCATTTTCTGCCTCCTTACCCAACTGTGAGCTCCTTGAGGGCAGCTGTACTTTGTATGAATGCTCCAAACACGGAGCCTGGCATCTGGCACGGAGGAAGTGACCTCATTAAGTGTTGCATGACTTGACAAATAGGTCTTGGCACTAGAAAACATGCCTGACACCCCATTCGAGACCGATGTGGTGATTTGCCGCAATCGATGTCCTGCTTCTTAGCAGAGAGGGGTGGGGGGTGGGGCTGGGCTGCTGTCGAAGGCGAAGAAATCACTGGATCGAGGCCTCAGGAATACGCCATCCTGGGTCCTTCTCAACTAATGGTAGTTAGAACCGGGTGGTTTGGAGCCAGCTGGGCGGGGTGAATGGAGCAAGCCACAAACCCAACTCCAAGGCCAGGTCACGAGCAGGTGAGGGTAAAGGAAGGTGACCTGGAGGGGATGCATGGGCAGGATGTTTTGAAATAAGAGAAACTTTGATACGGGACCTAAGGGGAGCTGGCAGCCTGGTGTCTGCCTGTGTGTCCACGGCTCCCCCTTGCAGCTCCGTGTCAGGCAGGACGCTGAGGTTCCCCTGTGTTGGCTCAGGATCATGTCTGGTGGGGCACAGGTAGCCCTGTTCTCGATTTGAACACACATGGGGCTGTGGGCAAAGCCCCTCATTTGGAGCCAGAGGACCGGACGTGGAGACCTGGCTCTGCAAATGACTAGTTACAGGACCTTGGGACAATGAGCCATCCTCTGGAAGCCAGTTTCTTCCTCAGCACAGTGGTGTTTGAGACTGTTCACGAGTACCTTCTGTACCGCGTTACAGCTGAGATAAGTAAGAATGCGGGTGGAGCGGCAAAGCCCTTGGCACACCGTGGCCCCCGAAGCAGCTGCGGCGGCCGACGTGCACACGTGTAACCAGCACACGCATACCCAGCACACGCGCTGGTGGACGGCTTTTCCCAGGGTGCTGGAGGAAGAGAGTGCTGCTGATGGTAGGGAGATCGGGATTTGAATTCTGTCTTCTCTCTGATCTGGGGTCCCACCCGCAAAATAGTGACAACAATTCCTGTTTCGTAAGGTGGTTTGGGGATGGACTCTTTCATGGGAGACTCCTACGTTAGATCGTGGCATGTGGTTGATTCGCTATCATTTCATTCTTCCAATCTAATAAAGATTCATTGGTCACTTGCTGTGTACCAGACTCTTTCCCGAGAACCAAAGATGAAGTCTTAGTGCTCATGGGGCTCACATTCTAGTCGAGGAAGAAACACAATGGACAAATAAGTACGTACTGTATCGAGGGGTGTAAGTGCTGAGGGCGGGGAGCAGGCTCCGGGCAAGGAGAATGCTGGGGGTCTGGCTGCCCTTTCCTCAGTGTCAACCCCTCCAAAGAAGCAGACCCTGAAGGAGTGGGGCAGTGAGCTACCTGAAGGAGACCATTCTAGAAAGGGAACAGCAGGTGCCAAGACCCTAAGGTGGGAGTATGCTCTGCAGCATTGAGAAATACCACAGGGACCCGCTGGGATGAAGCGCAGTGAGCCCGGGGCAAGTAGCAGGAGGTGAGGTTGAGAGAAAATAGAGGCCACGCCAGGCAGGACCTTGAAGGGCATTGTAAGGGCTGTGGCTTTCATTCTGCGTGAGATGAAGCCCCGGGAGGGCTTTGAGTAGAGGAGCAACAGGATCTAGTTTACACTGCAAAGGGATGGCTCAGGCCACTGCGGTTCTCACAGACATCAGGGGCAGTGCCAGACCAGGGGGCCACCCGGGGGTTATTCTAACAATCCTGGGCGAAGATGACGGCGTGGATCGGAGAGATGGTGCAGGCCAGAGCGATGGCGGAGCAGCGCCAGCATCCTGCATACACTTTGAAGACAGAGCCCGTGATTTACTGACAGACCACTGGTGGCATGGGAGAGAGCAGAGTCAGGAGGGACTTCCGGTCTGAGCGTGCCGGAGCCCGAGCTGTGGTCTATTGAGACGGTGAAGACACAGCGGGGGGCGGGGGCTGTGCTGCTTGGGGACAGGGGGACAGGTGGAATCAGCAGCTATTTTGGATACATGAAGAGCGAGAAGCTATGAGACATCGAAGTGAAGACATCAGACCACAGGGGCTAAACCAGTCCGTGGTTCAAAAGAAAAGTCCAGGCAGGAGGTGCAATGTGGAGCTGGACGTAGACATGGAGGGGGTGTCGGCATGCAAGATGCTGAAAGCGGGGAGCTGGCTTCCTGTCCAGCCATGACTATGTCCCTCTTCCTTTCAATTCCCCACATCAGCACCAAGATGGCAGAACAGGATGCAGGCTCACAAAAGCGACCCCGTGGCCCCACTAGCGCATGTTCACAAGAGAACGGGCAGAGAGGGAGCTAAGAGAGGAGCGGTCTCACCAGGAATAACTGTGCAGAGGGGGTGCGTCGGGGACTGGGGTTTGGACAGCAGCCGTGGCACCGCCATGCCCTCCCAGGGTTCCCCTCTCCTGGACTTGGGGGAGCCCTTCCCCAGTCATTCCTGCCAGGGCCAGTGGGCACGTGTCCGCAGACACTATCTCCCCTTGTGTGTAGACCAAGGAAACATCTCCTTGAAACCCTTGGAGGAAAACACAATGCGAGGAACGAAAATGCACAGTTGGGGAGGGGTCCCTGTCCCCTGGGTCGAGGCTCCTGGCTGGAGGGGCTCAGAAATTGAGGGCAGAGGTGGGGGACTCCCACACACCCTGCTGGGAGACGACCGGAAGGGCCATGGCAGCCCTCTTACAATGGGCCGGAATAATCAGGAAGTGCAGACTGGGGCTGCTCTCGGGTCAGCCACAGCCCCAAGTCCACCAGTGGGAGCCCCCTCCGCAGCCCCTGTGGACGGCTTCTCCTCTGCTGCGGGAGGGGACGGGAAGTAGCCAGGGCCTGCTCCCTCCCACCCGTCTGGGATGAGCCCCAGGCTCCTGGGACCATAATAGGTCTTCCTCCCTTTCTCAAGTCGGAGACGGCTGGGATACATTTTCAGGACATGGTCCAAAGAACCGGAGCTGTGAGGATATAGTCTCTTCTGCACAAAGATCCCCACATCCCACCCTGCTGAGCAACGTGAAACGAGGCATTACATAGACGAGGGCTTGGGGCCAGTGGCCGTGTCCCTCCATTATGCCCCGTTCATAGGGCACCGTCTCTGGCATAGACCCTGGAGAGGCCGCAACCCAAATATAAGAATCTCCATTTCCTTCTCAAACTCCCAGTTTCTGGTGTTTGTCTTACAATAGCTCAGCACTGTAGCACAGGAAGATGCATGGGTATATATCGTTCATACTAAATGACTGTATTGACTAATTTTTAACTGATGCGGGGCTTGATCAAAAGTGTTTGAAGACCCCTTATTTTAGAGGGGAAATGCCGAGGGCCAGGGGGAGAGCAACGTCTCGTCAGTGCTTCCTGAGAGCTAGTTTGGTTCAGTGGCCCAGTCGCAGCCCTGGGCAGAGACACACAAGTCACATGTGATGGGTCAGGGGCGAGAGTTTTTTGTCCTGGGCTGTGAGTCAATGGGATGGAAGCTAACAGCGAGTAAGCTCTGCTCTGTGACATATCTCACACACACAGCACAGCTCTCTTTCCATCTACATGTATGCATATATGTGCACATAGGTTATATAGAACATATACTGGTACATGTAGTAATATTAAATTCATAATATTCTCTTCTCACAGTGCCACACCTCCCAAGAGAGCCAATGTGAATTGCTTGCCGTGTATCTTTCCACACTTTTATCCTTTCACATAATTCACTTAAAGTTATATTCACATGCAAACAGACAGATACAGGTTGGTTGTTGTTGAAAGTATGAACGCTTCCTTCATTGCACACTGCTCGGCATTCTTATTTTTTGTTTCCCATTTAACAGCGCATCGCAGACATTCCTCAGGCTAGGAGAGATGGATCATTCTCTTTGCCATCTGCATAATATTTAATAGTCTGTGTGTATCTTAATTTATTCAGCCATTCCCCTGCTAATGGACATTTGAGTCGCTTCCAATGTATTGCCACAATAACTCACACTGCGATAAATGCCCTCGTATGTCTATGACGTCAAAGCGGCGCCTCTGTCGCGGGGCGATAGACTCCCCTAAGTGAGACAGCACCCAAGGGAGAGAGTGCTTCAAGGCAATGTCATCTGCATGAGTGATTTTATTGCTGCTAATTCCATTTATGCTGCCTTGGATTCCATAGAGCCAGACAGAGCCCCGCATTAAGGTTCGTGTCTTCTCTGTGCGCATGCACCGGGCCACCCTCCCAGGTATGACAGCCTAAAGGGCCTGTCCCTGTTAAAAGTGCATTGACCAGGAGGGATGGATGGGCTGGGGACAGTGTGCTTGGCTTCTTCCAGGGTGAGCCACATCCGAGTGAGGGGAGATGACATTTGGTCCGGGCAGGAAGTGTGTGTCCAAGCAGATAAATAGACTCAAAACTCATTCCCCTTTGCTGTGTTGACAACAAGCTGCATGAGGCTGCTTGGCCAGGTGCACGGTACCAGCTTCCCGGGTAAGAAAACCGGCTTGGAAGGCTGGGGCCGGCTTTCCCTGCCAGGATCGGGAAGCAGTGCCCCCCATCCACCTCCCTCCCCCTCTCCCAGTCCCAGTGGGACAAGCCTCCTTCATGGGACAGAGGTATCTACAGGCTGGACCCTGAAGCTACAGAGCTCCTTGGTTGGGCTCTGCCCACTGTTTCCCACAGTGAGTCATCACAGAAGCCACCTGGGGGTGTGGCTGTGTCTGTGCTGCTCCCAACTCTGCACGTGTCTTATTTCTGAACCCCAACCCCTTGACCACCCCCCACACACCTTTTGCACACAGTAGCTATTCAGCGATTGTTTTGTAAATGAACAAGTAAGGCGATGACTCTTGACCAAGATCAGAACTTGAGGACCAGAGCTAGGGCCACGCCCACCAGGGGGCCCCGACCCTCCCTTTAGCACCCCCCACGCCCTGGCCTACCTTCACGGCCTTTGCTCTGCTGATGAGCCCGTCGTCCTGAGAGCTCCCGATGAGCAGGTCGGTCTTCGCCCGCGGAGCCCTCTGCAGCGCCCTGCCTGGAGCTTCTCGGAGGTACCGGCCATCGACCACGGGACCCCAGTAATGGAAAGGGCCACTCACAGCCAGGAGCTGTGTTGGGTGCAAAGGAATGCAATTGTTTACATGGACTTTCTTCTTTTGAAAAGAAACGGGACTGAAATAATCAGTTGCATTGCTTTGCTTAACCTTACGGAACACTGGTGCTGGGTATCTATCTGAGGCTCTGTTGGGAACTCAGAGTACAATGAGCAGAAGAGCAGCAGGCAGGACCCCAGGTGACAGTGCCAGGTACAGAAAGGTGAGTCTCAGGCTGAGTAATGATTGGTCCCCAGGGGGAGCTTCCAGAACCCCTGCCGAGGTGACAGCACCCACAGGAAGCCTGAGCCCAGAAGTGCCAGGAGGAGACATTGACTTGGATGGGGGGGTGTGGCCAAAGGCGGGACATGCCAGGGAAATGGATCAGCTTTGGCCACTATGCGCTTAGCTCCCATATGGGGGTCTGAGGATGAGACCCACTCCAGGTCTGTAAGCCCAGGCTCATTGCCAAAGGTATCAGGTCATCAGCTCTGATGACAATTACCCCTGCTAGGGTCCCCTGCATTCGCGGCAGGGTCAGCCAGAGACTGTGGGCAGGGTCTTTTCAGGCAGGAAAGGGGAGCACACAGCTGTCCAATCCAAGGGGCAGGGTGGCCCAGCTCCACTGCAGCATGCCTGTGACACTTGGCACGTGCAGTTGTGACCTGCCGGCAGGGCCCCTGCGCCGGAAAGACCCTGTACATGTCACTTCATTTTATTCTCCTACTCCACAAGGCCGACACATTATTCCCACTTTACAGATAAAACCCCGGTGCACACAGATCCGTGGGCTACCCGTACCCTCGCTGGGTCCACAGTATACTGGGTCCATGCGCAGCGCTGGGGGTCAGGGAGTGTGCATTCTAGTGCCAGCTGGCCACCAACCTACTGTGTGGCCTTGGGTGGACCGTGTCTCCTTCCTAGGCCATTTGTAAAATGTCCCTTCCCAACCTACACACAAGTGCCCACCTTGGTCTGGGCGTCATTGAGGACATCGGCGGGCTTCTCACGGAGGCAGGATGTCATTTCTTGGATGGACGAGGTGGGGCATCCAACCTCCTTTGCCAAAGCAGCTGCCTGCTGCTGAGCTCTCTCCTGGCTGATGACAGCGGCTGGGGAGAGAGCGGAGCCACCCTGGAAGAGAAAGCAGACACAGAGCTGAGCGTCTGATACTCCCTCCCTCCTACTCAGCCCAGAGACCACAGGGCACATCCTGGCTCTGACCCTTCATCCACACTCAGGGCTCAGGGCCCGCCGGAGATGCCCGCGGGCACTGGGAGGTCAGAACTGATCCTTTTCAACATGCTGTGTGACCTTGAATGAACGTCTCCCTCCATCTCAGCTTCCTCCTCTGCAAAGTGAGGGCACTGGAAGGGTCAGGGGGAAGTTCAGTCGTCGCCGGGAACTGAGGTTGCATATTGAGGCAGAGGGCTGACGGTGGTGGACAAGGGACCAGATCAGGACTGGGAAGGGACCTCTGCCAAAGGCGGCACCACGTCACACCCTCGCTCCTGGGGGCGTCCCGCCTCAGTGAAGACAGACTTGGACTTCACGATAGAGGCCGGTTAGAAAACGAGGGCACGTACGTAGTCACTGTGCACATCGACTGCAGCGGCGAAATCGCCCTAAGTCTCTTAAAAGTGCAGGCAGCTGGGAGTGTCTCCTCTCTGAGCCCGTAGGCGGTGGGAGCCAGGCTCCAGGAGGAAGTCAGGGCACAGAGAAGTCCAGCCTCTTGCCCAGCGTCACACAGCTTGGTGAGCGGCAGAGCCGGGACTCCTGTGCAAGCAGCCCACCTCTGGGCCATGTGCTCCACCCCCATGCTCTGCCAGGGGCATCTTTATATCCAGGATAACAGGGTGTGTCCTTGAGCTGAACTGGGTGCTTTTAATCCAATGTCAAGAGGGCAGCAATCTGGCTGACTCCATGGGGTACGTTTTCATCCCAGGCCCTACCCTGAGTTACGAGTATCACAAACCCAAACCAAACACCAGAAATGCAGCGCTCGGTTTCCTCGCGCATGGCATGGGCAGAGCAGAGGGTGCCCCTCTCCCTGGGGTGTTAAGTGGGTCGCTGAAGGCAAAGGAAAGCATTCTAGAAATTGCTAAGTGAGGCACCCATGCTCACGTGGGTCATTCCTATTACCATATACCAAAAGGACAAGGCAGGCACCCAGAGGGGAGCAGACCCATCCTCCTGAGTGCCCAGCTGGACGTACATCCTGGAACAAGGGAGAGCACGCCCCGCCCCCCTGCCTTGGAAGGTTCCAGTGGCCCTTGGGCTTCACAGATAGGACTGAGGGTCAAGGGCAAAGCATGGCATTGCCATGGGAACAGGCCATCCCAAGGGAAGCCCTGGGAAGGGCAGACATCAAAGGGCCAGGAGAGGACCCAGGGCCCAGGACCAGTCCTGGCCAACAGACCAGTTGTGGCTCCAAATCCCAGAAGCTCACTGCAGTGCAGGAGAGAAGCTCGTGCTCCACACCTGGCTCCCAGCTCCACAGCATGATTTCATGGTGACGCCGCACCCTTTTCCTCTGGGGCACATGGACATAGAGGGACCAACACTGTGCGGTGCCTCTGGGCCGAGACATCTGAGCATCACGAGAGCTGCCCCCAGCAGAGTGTTATGTGTGTCCTCAGTATCAGGCAGGCTCAAGTTTACTTAAGCCTCACAGCCTCCCCATGAGGCAGACAACCCGACTGTCTCATTTTTGTGACAAGGGGTTACAGACTGGGAGTAATACGCTTGGGCGAGTGCTCGGGAGCGCACAGGGTGGAGAGAGGACCTGGACGCGGCAGCCAGGCTCCATGGTCAAGCCTTCAGGTCTTCGTTGGCCTTTCGTAGACACCTGGCAGGTCCTTGATGAGAGGTGGCTATACTGAGATCACCGTTATGTCTACTGTGTTGTCAGGTCCAAGGAGGGACCCTGTGGCCAGAGTCAGAGGCAAAGCTGGATAGTCAGAAGCCAGGCCGAGGGAGAGGGCAGCAAGGGGGTGGGTCCTGACCCAGCCGCAGGGGCCCCGGAGCTCCGGGTGCTCCGAACGGGGCTGGCAGCCTGGTCGGCAGGCTCGAGGCAGGACAGGCAGCGGGCACGGTTTCCCGCCCTCCACCCGTCCAGGGGGCTGCGGCGCCTGCTGTCGGCCAGGTGTGCGCCAGGCTGCCTGCCCTGTCCTCCGCCAGCTCTGAGCTCAGCATCTGTGAATGGGGAAGAGTCCCGGGCTCAGGGTGGGAATAAACAGCGGTGACAATAAAATGCCCAGGCAGCCGGGGGCCACGGATTCCAAAATGGTGAAAACAAACAGGGCCAGGATGATTGGCACGTGGGTTTATCTTTCTGACGAGGAGGGGCCAGCTTTTCTGAGAATCACTGGATGTGCTTTGTCTTAAGAGGACACACACACACACACACACACACACTCACACATGCGCTCAAGGTGCTGCAGGTCAAAGCCCCACATTGTAGATTGTGAAATGACCTGGCAAACTGCGGATGGCGGGGGCGGGGGCCGCTGAGCCCGGCCTGGCCCGCAGTGGGGCTGCAGAGAGATGTGGATTTCGGGATGGGCCCTTCTGATGTTTTGAACATGGTCTCCAGCTATAAAAAGCCAGAGTTCCTGATATGGCCAGGAAGTGGTTAGAGGCGTGGGTTAGACTGATACTGCAAGACGGCTGAGAGAACTTTCCTCTCGAAGTATTTAGTTGTAATTGATCTTTCTGAAGGAAACGTTTTTCTTCATGGAAAATCAGTGGTTGAACAAGCCAACAGCCAGCTCAGCCCTCCCTTTATAGCACTTGGCTGGAGGCAAGGAACCGGGGGGGAGGGGTGCCGTGCCGAGTCATGCAAAGAGCAGGGGCTTTGGGGCAGAAGGACCAGGTTCAAGCGGCAGCCCTGTTGCTCACTGATGAGGTGACTGTGGGCAGGGGCACGTGACTGACGTCCGGGGCCTCGATGTTCTCGTCTGTGAGTGGGAGCGGTGAACAAACTTTCCGGTCATCGCGAGGACACCTGGGGGCTGGTGGGAGCCCTTGGCACGGGGTGGGGGTGGAGTCCCCGCTGCCGTTGGTTCCGGGGGCGGGGGGCGCGGGGGGCGCAGGGGGTGGCAGCGCGGTCTCCCCGCAGGGCCCGGAGCAGCGGGGCCCTGTCACACCAGCCCTGGGCTGGCAGCTTATCTAAATCTGAGCTAGCTATTAAATGGCAATGAGTTCCGCTTGGGTTTTTTGTTGTTTTTTTTTAACTTTAAAAATAGTGTAGGGCAAAACCACAAGTGCTGGCCACTGCTTTTTGTCCCTGGAGCCTCCGAATGTGGTAAGGTGCCCTGACCTCAGTGAGCCACCAACTGAGGTGACACTGGTAAGTCACCTCAGAGCCAGGACTCGCTCCTGTGTAAGCACGCATGCAGACGCACATAGGCACAGAGAGAAACGTATGCACACGCACTCACACGCACACAGACTTTCATGAAATGGACGCCTCAGCGTGTCCCAGTCCCAGGAGGGACCACTCACGGGCCTTCCATGAAGAAGTCGCCGAGCACAACAGGGAGGGGGACAGCGTGATAAATGGGGCTGTCCCAGGAGGGCCCATGGCCCTTTCTTGGGGGTATCAGTGAGTCCAAGGATGTAACCCCTGGGGGGAAAGCGAGTCTTCCAGGAGGCACCTTCCCAGCAGCCCTCTCGCATGGCTTTTTCACTGATGAGGGGACGGTGACGGTTGTCTCGTGGGGAAGGGAGGATGTGTGGGGAGCTCGGTGCCCCTCGGGCAGCACGTGGAATCGAGAACTTAATCCACGCGGACCCCTTGCTGCGGCGCCCTCGCAGAGACGCACCACACCGGCAATAATTATCCTTTTGTAAGTTTTTTATCATGGCCCGAAGTGTCACTTCATTAAACCCCTTGTTGCAAAGCAGGCTGGCGGGCAGCCAGTCCCTCGCAGCCTCCGTCCTGGGAGTGTGCTCACACTCACATCTGTGGGAGACACAGAGCACACCCCGCAGGCCGCAGACACTGGCGGCCTCACGTGAGGCTTGCTCTCGCCGGGGCCGAGGGAGCCAGGAATTCCCGCGCTCTGAGAGCTCAGTGCAGGGAGGGTTTCCTGAGCACGCGGGCGGCTTGCAGGCCGTGGCTCAGAAGCAGGACTTGGGTGGACTTTGATGGGAAGAAATGGTTGGAGAAAAGGAAGGCGGGTGGGTAGCTCTTCCTGGGGGAGGGGCAGGAGCGGCAGGTGGGCGCAGGGGCCTGATCCCCCGAAGGAGCTGTACAGGGTAGGAGCTGGCCCCCGGTGGCCCAGCATCCCCAGACCAGGGCCTGGAACCCAGGACAGTATGTATCGAAGGGGGGAGCCCGTGCTGTGTGAGTGAGGGCATGGGTAGATGGCTGGGTGGACGTTAGATGGCATCATGGATGGGGGGATGGTGGGTGGATGGATGGATCCATTGAGCCTCCTGAGGGAAGAGAGGCCTGTGCATTGAGGGGTGGTGAGGAAGAGAGTTCAGAGGGCCCGACAGCCAGCCTAAGCAAGCGATGCAATGTAGAGGGTGATAAACCCCAGAATCTGGGCCGTGAGAGGATAGTAAATGCTTCTGAACAGGGTGTGGCAGAAAGCACGCGTTTTGAATGCCACTGAGTCGTTTGCCTTTGCATCCTCAGTGCTGAAAACGCCGTAGGAGCCACAGGAGGCGCTTTGAGCACGGAAGCCCCTGAAGACGGCCTTCTGTGGGCAGAGGCAGGGAGGGCCATCCCTGCGCCCCCAGGCCTTGCCCAGGCCTCCGCACAGTAGGCCTTACTAAACCGCGGTGGGCGGAATCGAGCGGAAGTGAATGGCCGGATGGGAGATGACTGGGTAGCTGAGAGGCGACGAGGAGAGGGCGTCTGAAGTCGGGGGCCCAGCAGAGACGCAGGGAGGAGCCCTGACCCCGGTGTCACCCCCACTGCCCTGCGCGGAGTCCTCCCCTGGGACGGGCCCGGGCCCACACCTGGCAGGCGGCCACCAGCATACTGCAGGAAAGTTGAACTGGGGGGCTCTATGGAGCAGCCCAGACTCAGAGGGAACTCTGAGCAGATACAGAATTTTTTTTTAAACTATCATACATCCGAGTTAGTGTTAGTAGTCTCCAATGTTTTCTACACTCATGTC